TGTTGATTACGGGATCTTGATCAGATGTCTGGCGTTTTCACATTCTGCTGCGTGCTGGTTTGCGGTTGTGAAGATTGTGTCACAAGTATATCTGCTATGATCACTTGCTAAGGATCACCGGCAAGTTCCCTGGTTAGACCCCCCTGAATCCGGACTACCCGCCTCAGCGCGGTAGGGGGGTGGCAACAGCATGACACTACTGCGTGTGAAGATGATCGCCTTTCGAGGAGCTTGTCATGTTGGCTAAGTGGTAGACGTGGCTGCCGACTTTCTGCGTTCACCTCAGTTGCCCCTCGGGTAGCTCGTGATAACCAGGAGCCGATGGCAACAGGAGGAGGCCGTTAGCTGCGGCTTTACTCCTTCTTTTCAGCTTTCTTGCCAATCATGTGAGAGTTTCATTTCCACTCGACCGACATTCTGCTGGACCGCCTACAACGGATGACTTTTCGTAGTCGAACCCTTACGGGAGCTGCTAAGAGGAACAGGCGCGGTTACAGAGAACTTTATGGTGTAGATCCACACTACCGGCACCTTTTTTCCCGCTGCAACATCGGTTATTTGAATGTTTGCGGCGTCCGCCGAGCTTTTGATGTCCGACCTAATGGTGATTTGGAAATTCGCGGCTTTGCAGAGCTTGAAGTTCTGAAATCCAGGATGATTGATTCTTCGCTTTATGCTCTTGCTGTGAGTGAGCTTCGCTTACCGGGCTCAGGCACAGCTGACCTTGGGGGAGGCTTTCTGCTAGTGTATCAAGGCTCGCCTGGAGAAGGCCTTTGGGGAGGCTGTGGATTCATTTTGTCTCCTGGTGCTGCCCGTGCCTGGCGAGACAACGGGTCCCGCGCTACGGGCAAACCATCAGGCAGGGTGATGTGCATCTCCTTGCGTCTTGCGGGAGACGAAGGATGTTTCCATTTGGTGTCCGTCTACGCGCCCACGATGCAACGACCGGAGACCGAGAAGGACGAGTTCTGGGATGAGCTGCAGACCGTGTGGCAGGCGCTGCCTGCACGAGAACCCGCCTGGATTCTAGGCGATTTCAATTCTCGAATCGGTATCAATACTGCAGCTGCTCCATCACCCGCGGCAGAAGGAGTACATGGACCGTATGGCCTTGGTCAGCTGAACGCCAATGGGGAACGTTTTCTTCATTTCTGCTCTGAAGCTCACCTTAAAGTCCTCAATACGTTCTTTCAGCATTCTGCCGACGAGCTCACGAGCTGGGTTCACAGACGGTGGGGCACGCAGGGCATGATTGATTACGCAGTGGGCCACGCTGCAGACTGGTGCTTTGTCCTTGATACTCACTCCCTTCCTCATGCAGAGGTGAATAGTGACCATCGTCTCATGGTCTTGAAGCTGCGCGCGGCTCCTGGACGGTATGTACGTGCAGCTCCGACGGCTCCCTGTGACACAAGACTGCCTCGTTTGTGTGTTGCCAAGCTTCAGGGGGAGGACGCCTGAACCCAATATGTCAAGGAGGTGGAGCGCCTTCGACAGGGTGCAGCTCCTGGTTTTCCTTCGCTGTCTCATGATCTGTACCAGGCGGGCGTTTCCATTCTAGGCACTGCACAGCGCAGAACATCAGACTGGCGAGAGGGGCATGACGCTACTCTTCGGGCCGCAGCTGCACGCCGCCAACGGGCTTTGGAGAGCCTCAGGCTTTCACCGGGCTCTCAGGCATGCTTACAGGAGCTGAGAGATGCGCGCCACGCCTCTCGTCGAGTTGTTCGGGACCTCAAGGCTCGCTGGTGGTCAAGTCGCCTGCGGCGCCTCGAAGCAGCCGCTCGCCGCAACGATGCTGCTACTGCCTACAGTGATGCTAAGGAGATGGGCCGTCTACTTCGCTCACAAAGTGTTTCTGTGGAGCCTCTAGCAGCGTCGCCAGATGCAGATCTGACTGCAAAAGCTGCTCACTTTCAGGCTGTGTTGAACGTGCAGCGCCCAGTATCTCCGCACATCTGGGACGAAATTCCGGACTTGTCTTCTGATGCAGCTGACATATCTTGGGACCCGCCGACAGAGCACGAACTTCGGTGTACCATCATGCAGTTGTCCAATGGCAAGGCTCCTGATGCTTCAGGTGTGCATGCCGAGCTCCTGAAGGTGTTCGTTCAGACAATGGATCCCGCTGGTGACGCTGTCATTGCCGAGTTCCACGACCTGGTCCAGCGACTTTGGCGTGGAGAGCAGCTCGATTTGACTACCTGGCACTCCTCGCTGTTGTTTTCGATTTGGAAGGGCCGCGGCCTTGTCACTGACCTCGATGGACATCGAGGCATTGTACTTCTGGACGTGCTCAATAAAGTCGTCTGCAAGATGCTGGCTTCTCGCTTATCCGAACTTGCCGAAAAGCATTGTGCTGAATCTGAGACAGGCTATCGGAGAGGCAGAGGTTGCGCTGCGCTGATGCACTCTTCTTGATGCGGCGACTTTTTCAGGAGTGGAGTTGCTCTCGTCCTACTCGAGCCCACGGGAGCAGCTCTTTGTACGTCTTGTTCATTGACCTCACTCGTGCCTTGGATGCAGTTCCTCGGGCCTTCCTATGGACTGCTGCAGCGCAAGTTGGGGGTCCCTGCACATGTAGTTGATCTGCTCAAAGCCATCTATACGGGCATGATGACGCGTGTGTGCGGTCAGCGTGGTCAGCTTAGCCCTGCTTTTCAGATGTCCACTGGGGTTCGACAAGGCTCCATCGAGGGACCGGTGCTCTTTTTGCTTTACTTTGCGGTCGTCATGAAGGTCTGGCGACAGCGATGCGGCGACGCTCTAGGACCGAACCACGGTGTTCCCTGGCAGTCCGTTGTTGATGGCACTCTCCGCTTGCCGACTCACCTGCGCAGGTGTGCGACTCGGGAGCATAGTTTTCGCGATTCGGTCTTTGCAGATGATACGGCGATCTTTGCTACTAACTGGAATGACTTCTGCCAGATGTCGGAGCTTTTTCACCGGACGTTGAGCGACATGGGCGGCCTCCTGAATGCAAGCAAAACCGAGTGGCTTGAGCTACATTCCTTCGTTGGAGTGCCTGATGTCGCTCCGCTCCCAGGTACCAAGATTCTGAAGATTGCTGGACAGCACATCAGCAAGACTGCGCAGTTCAAGTACTTGGGAGCCGTTTTAGGCACCGACCGCACCTGTGGCGTTGATGCAGACGTGCGTCGTCGAGTCAGTCTGGCTCACGCGGCGTTCTCGAAGCTTCGTCATCTTTGGAGAGCACGTCAGATTTCGCTGAAGACTAAATCAAGGATGCTGTTGTCCTGTGTGGCGGCAGTTTTGCTGTACAGCAGTGAAGCATGGACCCTGCAGTACCCACATCATCGTCTCTTGCATACCACATGGATGATGTTTGTGCGGAGAGCGCAACGCCTCAAGTACAGCGACATGCAGACTCTTCGTCTTGACAATGATGCCTTGTTGACCGATTAGGCGTGCCAAGTGTTTTCACTCTGCTTGCTCGCCGCACAGCGCAGTGGCTTGGCCACGTGGCTAGACTGCCTCCGCAGAGGCCTGCGCATGCTTCATTGTTCGGCACGATTCCAGGCCGCGCCTTTCCTTCAGCAAGTGAAGTCGGAGCCCACTGTCATCACTACACTGGCCGCGCCAAGATGGTGATGCAGACCCTTGCGCTTGACAATTGGCAGCTTTGGTCCAGAACAGCTCAAGACAGAGTGGCTTGGCATAGACTTGTGCAGCAGGTCAGAGTCGCGGCTCTTGGCCGCGACGCTCCACGTGCTGACCGAGCGCGAGTGCACGCTCACGGTGGTGTTGCTTTGCAAGTGGTTGCTTTTCAGTGTCCGATTTGTCCTTACAGAGGTCGTAACTCGCAGGGCTTATCTCGACACTTGAATCTTGCGCATCCTGTTGTCCGAGATGTTTACAGGTGCCCCCACTGCAACAAGGTCTATCGACACAAGGGCTACTTTACAATGCATTGTCGGGAGTGTCGGGCCTTCCATGCTCCGGCCCCAGTGGCTCCAGCTCCTGCAGCACCGCGCGCGGCCGGTGCTCGTACTGACGCAGCGAGATTGTTTACATGCCCCGACCCGGTTTGTGGCATGACGTTCACAACAGCTAGTCAGCTTGGACGCCATACTCGGGAGCAGTGTCTTGGGAGGGCTGGCTCCGGTGCAGTCCTGCGCGCAGGCCGCTACAAGCTGCCGTGCCCGCGGTGTGGGCGGGAGTTTGACACCTCGAAAGCATTGGGCATTCACCGAAGTCGCAAGCAGCATTGATTCCAGTGTGGTTTTTCATTTTCCGCTTAGTCGGCTCATGACTTTTGCATTCCTCGCCGTGTGAGAAATGAGTGCTGAGTGTGGGAAGGCCTCGCCTTCACTTGGTGAGGGCAAGCCCGCCCTGCACAGACAGCCTGACATGCTCTTGCAGCATGGCGCGGCTACGCATTCTTGAACTACAGGCATTGGGGTCACAGGCAGGTTTCTTGCTGCCTCAGAGGCTGAGCCATGGCCGGGGCGCCGTCTGCACAGTCTTTCCTGCGGGCTCTTCAAGCTGCGCCTGCGGCGCCAGCTGGAGCGGGCAGTCCGGTTCACAAGCGTGCTCGTGCTGAGGCTGCGGCTGGGCAAAGCGCCCACGGTCAGGATGCTCTGCAAGCTCAACAGCCGAATGGTGGCCGTGCTGATCGCGCTCGTAAGCCTTTGGTCGCCCTCTCGACTGCTGAGCTCACGCTGGCGTTTGTCAGTCAGCAGGACCAGCTTGACCAGTTGCAGCAGCAGTGTGCTGCGGTGTTTCGCTTCGCCTCCGACAACGTCTTTGCTCTGCGGCTCCTCGCGGCAGTGGATCAGTGGAAAGCAGATCATCGCCCAGGGCGCCCTCACCCACTTGGAGCTTGTGCGACGGCAGTTGCACTTGCAATGCTCTTCGGCATCTCCGATGCTGGGATTCCGCCAGCGTGCAACGAGGAGGCGGCGAAGGCTCTTCAGACGTTGGCGGCAGAGCTCCTGGCAGGGGAAGCGGCAACAGTTGCTCGTGAGTTCAGTCACTGCAGCGCACGTCTCACGGCAAAGAAGGAGCACATCATCCTGGATTGTAGACCTACCCTCTATGGCCGCATCTTTCCATTTTACAATGTACTATGTCAGCTTTTGGAGGTCGTTTGACGCTGAACGCTTGGGTCGGAAGCCTGCTGGCTCCCTGCTTCGCAAGGCAAGACAGCAACAGTAAGATGCTGGTGTTTTCTGTGGATCTCATCTTTTGCTGGTTTGGGGGCGTGACTTCAGCGACAATCTGTTCATCATGTCTCCCAGCTTTCCCTTTACAAGTCCTTGGATGCATGACTTCAGCGACAGTCTGTTCATCATGTCTCCCTGCTTTTCCCTTGCAAGTTCTACGATGGCCGCTCCGTTTTTCCAGCCAGTGGATGATGGTCACGATGTTTTCTCACTACTTTTCATGCACAGTTTTGATGGCGCACTATGCTCATGTGTGGGCGAAGTGCTCTTCGTCGTCGTCAACAATGGGCGAGAACCAGCCTGGATTCTAGGCGATTTCAATTCTCGAATCGGAATTAACACTGCTGCTGCTCCCTCACCTGCGGCAGAAGGAGTACATGGACCGTATGGCCTTGGCCAGTTGAACGCCAATGGGGAACGTTTTCTTCATTTCTGCTCTGAAGCTCACCTTAAGGTCCTCAACACGTTCTTTCAGCACTCTGCTGACGAGCTCACGAGCTGGGTTCACAGACGGTGGGGCACGCAGGGCATGATTGATTACGCAGTGGGCCGTGCTACAGACTGGTGTTTTGTCCTTGACACCCACTCCCTTCCTCATGCAGAGGTGAACAGTGACCATCGTCTCATGGTCTTGAAGCTGCGCGCGGCTCCTGGTCGGTATGTACGTGCGGCTCCAACAGCTACCTGTGACAAAAGACTGCCTCGTTTGTGTGTGCCAAGCTTCGGGAGGGGACACCTCCACCCAGTACGTCAAGGAAGTGGAGCGCCTTCGACGGGGCGCAGCTCAAAGTTTTCCTTCGCTGTGTCATGATCTGTACCAGGCGGGCGTTTCCATTCTAGGCACTGCACAGCGCAGAACATCAGACTGGCGAGAGGGGCATGACGCTACTCTTCGGGCCGCAGCTGCACGCCGCCAACGGGCTTTGGAGAGCCCCAGGCTTTCACCGGGCTCTCAGGCATGCTTACAGGAGCTGAGAGATGCGCGCCACGCCTCTCGTCGAGTTGTTCGGGACCTCAAGGCTCGCTGGTGGTCAAGTCGCCTGCGGCGCCTCGAAGCAGCCGCTCGCCGCAACGATGCTGCTACTGCCTACAGTGATGCTAAGGAGATGGGCCGTCTACTTCGCTCACAAAGTGTTTCTGTGGAGCCTCTAGCATCGTCGCCCGACGCGGACCTGACTGCTAAAGCTGCTCACTTTCAGGCTGTCTTGAACGTGCAGCGCCCGGTGTCTCCGCACATCTGGGACGAAATTCCGGACTTGTCTTCTGATGCGGCTGACATATCTTGGGACCCGCCGACAGAGCACGAACTTCGGCGTACCATCATGCAGTTGTCCATTAATGGCAAGGCTTCTGGTGTGCATGCCGAGCTCCTGAAGGTGTTCGTTCAGGGATCGGACCCTGCTGGTGACGCTGTCGTCGCCGAGTTCCATGACCTGGTCCAGCGACTTTGGCGTGGAGAGCAGCTTAATTTGACTCATTTGACTACTTGGCACTCCTCGCTATTGTTTTCAATTTGGAAAGGCCGCGGCCTTGTCACTGACCTTGATGGACATCGAGGCATTGTACTTTTGGACGTACTCAACAAAGTCGTCTGCAAGATGCTGGATTCTCGCTTATCCGAACTTGCCGAAAAGCATTGTGCTGAATCTGAGACTGGCTATCGGAGAGGCAACCTCCTTTCCCTACAGACATTACTGTGTATATATATGCTATATATTTCCATTGTTTTGGCAGACGACAAACTTTTTATGTTGCTAGTATACTTAAGTCTGATGATTTTTAGCTCAGCAAAAATACTGTGCATAAATTGCGCCGAGGAGTCCGTCTACCCAGTTATCTAGTTACCAACATCATAGTCAGTAGTCCATATAAGTATGTCAGTATCCGTGAACGTAGTAATATGGCTGACAGTTTTTATGAATATAGCCTGGTGTCTGTTCGTCAGTCTTAATTGGTAAAATACTCCATGAATAAACTTAACTGCAGCGAGACATCTTTAGGCTATTCGGGCTCTTATTCAAACATGTACAGTTCCAAGGTTCTACTGTACTGGTTTTATTAAGCAGCTTGTTGAGTAAATCGCAACAGCGAATCTCAAGCCTTATCTGTAGCAGTTCACAGACCTTGAAAATTCAACATTAAATCATAACACCGACGTATTATACTTCATAGTTATTATGTACTACATGTTCAGGAAAGACAGCTGACACATGAAAATGAAGGGATAACACCATAATAAGCTGTAGAGACATACATAGCACCGGGTGTTTCTAAACAGCTTTGCAATCCTTGCTCCAGCAATATTATCCAACAAGAATGTTTAAACTTATCTGTATATTTGTTGTCTAATTCCCACATGGTTTACTTTTCGTATGTTGAATTGGGCGAAGTATGATTGCATTTCGAACTGAATTTGTTCTGGAAAATACAAGCTAAAGCGATAGTCGTTGTTCAATTTAACTGCAGCTGTCAGTTATCGTACCTCGATGCCACATCTTTAGATCTGTGTCATCTTCGAATACTACAGTTGAAGTTAAAAAGGCACACGACATGGGGCGAGTGTGCCGTACAATGTAATCTGTTGCGTTTCTGGCAGTTCAGGTACGCCTCTTCGACGACACCGCGGGCAACTCTTACCCGTAGGGGGGCTGCTGTAATAAAAGCTCTACAACATAACAGCCCTTTACCAACAAAGCCAAAGCCAAAAAAACGCAAAACAACATTCTTCCAGTACTCCTCCAGAATAGAACTAGAAATATACACAAATGGAAGAGTTCTGAAATAATGGTTGTTGTTTTTTGTTTTTTTGGTTTTGTTTTTTGTTGTATTTTTGGTTTTGGTTTTGTTTTGTGGGTTTTGTTGAGGGAAAAGGGTTGTTGTGTTTTTTTAGGGTTTGTAATTTCAGCAACGTCCGTAAGCGTGAGAGTTGACAGCGATGTCGTCGAAGAGGCGTTCCTTAGTCGAAGGGGTAGACTTTTGACCCCTGAGCCCTTTTATCTATTGGTTTCAAGGTGTTTCACAACGCCGCAAATCTTAAAGCTTAACACGTTGAGAAACATGGGTGAGAACCATAAGTTTTTACATTAAATGACCGATGCCGAAAATCCGAATTTTAAGTGTTGTCGTGAAACCGAAACCGTCAAACAACCTCCACACTCGAAACCATACCCTGTGAGAGCCCCAAGCCCTAGGTTAGGTATAAGCGTCAAGCCTTTGACAGTTCAGTTCTTAAGCCGTTTTCGCCGAAAACTGAGCATTAAGGCTTTCAACTCAACATCGTCACCCCTATAAAGGCCGTAAGCAGGAAACTAAAATCAACAATTTTGAAAAGCAGCCTTGCCACCACTAGTTATGTAGGATTCTGTAGGATGTTGTGTTGGCGGTCTGTGGCAGCATCTCGAGCATCGGAATACAAATTTTCAGAGTTTGGACTCTTGAATCAAAGCATTTTTGTTCGTAGCTTGCATGGATGGTTCAGTGCAAGCTTTGACATGTAACATGTTGATTGGGATTAAGGATCACCGGCAAGTTCCCTGGCTACTTGTCACCATCCGCTGGCCTGAAATTCGCCGATGTTCCCAACGGATTGGCTGCAATCTCCAAGGTGCCTGCCGCAGGATGGGGGCAGATCCTCGCCTACATGGCCTTCTGCGAGGTTTC